TCATTAAAGTTAAACAAGAAAAATGATTCCACTTTAACAAAAGGTATCGATTAAAATACGGAGATTGTCAAATCAAATCAAAATTATATGTCATTATACTCTAATCTCACTTTACTTTTTTTTTTATGTGTTTAAAATAATCTCTTAATAATTTAGGGGTTTAACTCGTGCCATCTTGCACTATTATGATCCATCCCATGTGAGGCTTGCTCATCATCATTCTTATTGTTTGGTTGGAACTCGGAAGCAGCTAGAGTTTGGCAGGCTAAACTCAATTATATGTGTTTTTTTTTTTTTTTTAGATAGTTAAAATTAAATTTTAATCATTTAAATTAAAATTTCAATAATTTATTAATAAATTACATTATTGTTGACCAAACTCAATTATATTGATTAATCTTTTTAATAATTCAGACAACTAGATTTTGTTTCGTTTTGAAAGTGAGGTAAGAACTATTTTCTATGGTATTGGTAAGAAAAAAACCATATTATTTTTTTTTATAAAAAGTGTTGCAGCATAAAAATAAGAAAATGTAAATATTTATATTTAAATTTTATATTTTTTTATCTTAAAAATAGGTATATAAACCAACTTGATTTAATAAATATAACCAATAATATCATTTATAATTTGCAAAACCATTCATATGAATGAATGTGCAAAACTAATGATTGATAAAACATGAAATGCATTAACAAAAACCAAAACAAGAAACATGGAAGTGAATGGATATTAAATGATCAAATTCTTTTATTTTAATGTTTTTGTTTGGGTTGGTGTATTTGAGAAATAAGTAGATATGATATTAAAATAGAAGTGGTAACGGTTTAAATTAAATTATATTTAATTTAATTTTTTAATATTACGTAATAATATAAATTTTAAAATTTTAATATGAATTTAAATTAAGTTTTTAAAATATTAATCATATATAAATTGAATTTTGTTAATTTGATTAAGTTTCGACTAATCGTTTCTAAAAATCTAAAATTTTATATATTATTTTAATAAAAATTTTAATATAGTTATATAAAATAATTAAGTTTGTTTTATAAAAATTTAAAATATGCATAACAATTAATATAAAAAAATATAAGTTGATATGATTTTTTTATTTTTATAATTTAATTTTAAATTGGATACAAATTTAATATATATTTAATATTTAATTTTGATCCAAATTAAATTAAAAAAAAATTGATTTAAATCAAATTGAATCTTGTAATCTTTAAGTAATTTTAATTTTAAAAATTTTTATCTCACACAGTAACAATTAAACGAGTTTTGAAGTACACAACTTAAACTTTACAAGTAAAATTCGGAAGAGGGGAAGAAAAGTTGTTTGAGTGTAAAGAAACCTAAAGCAGTGGCATGATTTTTTCTAGCCCATATCGGCTGCTCCATTGATGGCCTGTACCGCGGCATTTTGTCAGAAGTCAAGTTCTGGAAACCGACCCCCCTGCAACAATATGCCCCCTTTTCTCCTACAAAAATCTGACTCCATTTTTTTCACATTAAATATACTAACCTCTATTTTGGTTTAAAATTTAATTGACCGACCGGTTCTAGAAGATCATAACTTTCATTTGTCGTTGATGCAATCTTAACCGTCCTTCTTACAATTCACAGAGCAACGAACGACATCTTGGTATCGTTGCTCCGTCAACCGTAATTAAGTTTTTGTCGTGTTTTAAGGTGCCACGTGGAAGAAAGGAGATCTAGGTGCTTCGGGGGTGACAAGCTCTAAGCCACACGTGTACAATGAAAAATCACGGGCCGGTGGCCGGTGGCCGGTGGCCGGTGGCTGGCGGGTGTGGCTGGGGAAACAAAAACCTCGTAACAAGTGCCGAGGTTAAAGTAATGACCGCATCATCATGGCGTTCAGCTTCTTTGTCTTTTTCTTTTTTAATCTTTTTTAATGCTTTAATTTTATAGTTGTATTAGTTTTATTTTTTATTTTTACTTTTTCCATTAATCACTGTATTTTTTCTCTTGGTTAACTAGAAATAATACGTGTACCAATCAAATTTAGTAAACGTTTTCCCCATAGTCCTTTTTATCTTAAAAAATTGCCAACTGTAAATATTTTTTCATGTATTATTAGGGATGTTAATTTTATTTTGTATTAAATAAAAAAATAAAATTTTTATGTAAATAAAAATAAAAATGAGTATTATATTATTAATGTGAGGATAAAAATAAATATAATTTAAAATTTTTATTACATATGAAAATAAAAATAAATAATATAATAATTGTTTGATATTTGTACATTACATGTATTTTATATATATTTAATAAATAAATTTTTATTAAATAATATAAATTATTATTTTAGATTAATTGAGAATAAAAAAAATTTTATTTAAGAAAATATTAATATATTTATAAAAAATTATCTAAATATATAAGAAAAAATTAAAATAAATTTTATTTTTTATTTTTAAAAATTATGAATATAAAATTATCAATACCCATTAAATATCTTTAAAATAAAAAAAATAAATTTAAAATATTCATTAAATATAAATAAAAATTAAAATACTCAAATTTCTCCATATCTTACTAATTAATTTCCTATTAATTACTACATAAAATCTTTATACCCATAGAAATTCAAGAATAACTGACTCCCCGTGGATACACAAGTGGACAATAACTGGGAAAAACATTTTTGGCAATGCATTGATTTTCCAAAAAAGAGTTATTAATTTTTTTTAAAGGAGGCTCCGGTCGCAATAGAACATCAAAGCCAAAACCATGGCGTCACATCATCATCAATGACAAAATAAAATTATTTAATGGTTGGTCCCCATTTTCGATGGTTTTCAGAGGCGGGCCCTATTGAAGTTAGAAAGAGAGAAACGGACGAAATTGACAAAAGAATGAGAGAAAAAAGTGAAGGCGAGTGATGTAAGATGTTGAGTGAAGAGAGCGGTGAGAAGGAAGCGTAACCGTCGATTCTTTTTTTTTTCAGTAAAAACAATTACTTTATTTTAAGAAAGAGGGAGTGTAGTACAAACTTACAAAGTACAGTAGGTAAGAGCCTTAGGGGAGTTCCAACAAGTCTTACTTGCATTTATGGCGCGTGGATCTACTCCACTCAATGAATTTTTTTTGGGTGCAACCCACTATAATGATTTTAACTACTATTAGTATTTTTTTTTTTATTTTTCTTTAATGATTGGATGGTACTGCCTCAAACTTAGACTTTTCCCGACTTTGATGAGAGTGTGGCATTTAATCTTTCCAAAAGGAAATCTTTGTTATGCACTTGTATTAGACATATAGATATAGTAGTACTTTATAACCCAAAAAATGAAATTTGTATTATATACACTTTTGAAACTTTATAATGATTTGATTTTATTTTTCATTTTAAACACAGATATATAAACATGAAAAATCCAAATTTTGATTCAAATAGATTAACAAATTTTATATGCTCTAATGAATAATAGAAGAATGGTTATTGTTAATTTTTAACCGCCCTAACTAATTATTGTGGGTAATGTGGGATGTTTGAGGTCAAGCGTCTTGCATATTCTTGTTAACTTCCCAAAGAAAGCCTCCAATTTGAACCATTGTTCTATCAACGTAGTTATCAAATAAACATAATATGAATAATTTATAAAATATAAAATATAAAATATAAAATTATCATTAATTGATGTCAGTGATCCAATATTGTAATCATACTTTAATTTCAAAACAAACATATAAATCTACATCATTTTTTATAGAACAAAAAAATTATAGTTTGAACAACATTTCACTTACAATTTTTTTTATTATAATTTTATAATTTATCAATTATAATTAAAAATTATGTATATATTTATCATTTATAACTATAACTCCACATAATAATTTGATGAACTTTACGTAATTTTAAATTTTGATTGATTAATTGTAATATAATTTTACATGGTATATGCTTCCAACAATTTAAAATAATAAAAATTATAAATATTAAGATTTAAATTTTGGAACTATTAATATTAGTCTTAATTATTTAAATCAATTGAATTAGATTTCAATTTTTATATTATATTTTTTTAGTTGGCTATTAAAATATGAAATGAACCTATCATCCTATGCTTTTTTTTTTTTGTTATTGAAATAAACTCAAATAGTATTTGTTTAAGGGATTTAACTTGCCATACAATTACAGTATCAGACAAGATCATACTAATAGAGACTTAAACTAATGTTAATACCCAATTAAGTAACCATTGCTTGGAATCCAAAATATGGCCTACATCCCCCAGATATTCTGTTTCTTCACCTTCGATCACATGCTCCCAAGACATTTTCTTGGGGGCCAAGGCTGTTCAACACATGAGATTCGGTTTCTTGGCATGCATGTGTCTCCCTCTGCCCTCAACACCTTCCAACAATAACAGAGATGGCTCAATAATAATTAATTAAAAATTATTATGAACACCAATTTATTGAATTAAAATTTATGTTATTGTTCATCAAGAAATTTTTATTCAAGAGGAAAGAAATTAAAAAAAAAAGTAAAAGTTGAATTTCAACGGCTAACAACTTCCATTAAAATCCAAAGTCTTTTGAGAGACCCGCTACCACAATGTAGAGGGAAAGGGGCAACCGAACCGTCCTAGGAGCCAAGATTATGGCGGTGTGGTAGTTACGCTAACGCGCATAGCACGAGCGTGGGGCCTTGCTCAGATATTAACGTTAGAATGTGGAGTGTGGGGCTTTTGTTTTTTTACTAGTCGCAACTACAAGACTACCGATTTCCGTCTTTTAACCCTCATCTTTCCGAAACCACGAAATTGCCATTTCGATGATATTTCATCATTAATTATCAATAATAAAACTTAAATTGAGCAGTTTAATTTAATAAGTCGAAGTTATTGGAGTTTTATTTTCATTTTTCAAGGAAATATTTATTGGACAATTTTTTCGTTTCTCATTTTCTTAATATAATGGCATTTATGGTAATTTGAATCTACAAGAAGGGCAAAAAGGTGAAGGGAACACAACTACTAACCGGGAATAATTTCGAACTTGCAGATGCAGTTATTTTGAGCCAATGGATTCACTCGCACGGATTCCTGAAACCTGCCGTTGTTTCCTCTTTTTTTTATTTAACAAAGAACAAAGCTTTCCCCTATAAAAATGTAACCATCATTTCTTCACCCACCCATCGACCTTTCTGAGCTCATCTTTTACCCTTCTCTCTTCTCTCTCTCTCCCATCAAACACTCCAAAGACTAGACCTTTTCTAAGCAGTTCAAATGGACTATGCTAGACGTTCAAGGAGGCCTTGTTTCATTGAGGATGATGGGTTGGCTTCTCTTGCAGACAAAGAAGCTGGATATTCAGGAAGCCATTACCAAAGTCATAACCAAAATGGGTTTTTCTCAAGACCTCTTTGTTACTCAAGGAGGAGTAGTTTGAGGAATCTGTCTTCTTATTCCGTCTCTTCTTCTCCAAGGTCTGCCAGGTTTTATGATGCAAGATTTGAAGACCATCAACCCCATTTCTTGGATGCTTGTTTTCTTTGCAAGAAACCTCTTGGGGGTAACCGAGACATCTTCATGTACAGGTTCGTTTATATTTTATGTGTATATCAATAAGGTCTAATGTTTTCTAGATTTAATGAGTAGAATTTTAGAAAGATCCGATGAATCTATTAGTTTGAGGCTAAATCAGAACTGAGAATGCGCGTTTGCTTAATGAATTTTCCCCTTAGATCCATGGAGCTGCCATTGGTTGATCTTGTTTACAAGTTAGTTTTTATTCCAATTTTCAACTAAGGGACTAGGGTTAATTTTTTGATAACGATTTCCAGACAACATGGAACTTGGGATAATCGAGTATATTATGAGAATCTGTGGAGTTTTTCTCAAAGATGGTTTCTTTTGTATTTTTGTTTTCCAGAAGTGTTCTGAGTCTTTAGATTTCGTGGAAACCAAGATTGGTTTTTTGGCTTTAAAATTTGTAGCAAATTTAGATTTGGTTGCTGATTAGTATTTGGTTTTGTTATGTTGAAATCTTGCAGAGGGGACACACCTTTCTGTAGTGAAGAGTGCAGACAAGAGCAAATAGATATAGATGAGGCTAAGGAAAAGAACTGGAACCTTTCTTCCTCAATGAAAGCTTTGAGAAAGAAGGATCAAAGGAAATCTACATCTCCTACGAAAGCTGGAGACCACCCTCTCCCTGCAGGCACTGTTGCAGCTGCCTAAATCACCTCACAAAGTAAATAAAGAACATATCTACCATATATAGATAGTTGCAAAAAAAAGAAAGACAAGAAAAAGGACATGGAGATCCATGAAGAAAAGGGCCAAGGAGAGGAGGAAGAAGCCTATTTTGAGGGCTATTTTCTGGGTTTTTGGCCCTTTTTTACTTTTAAAAAACATATATGCTAGTTTTAACTGTGAATGTTATGTATATGAAAGAGGATGTGAAATAGCCTGGATCTACCGTATGAGGTGGATCTTTTTTTGGGGTTGTTTCTCTTGGTTAATTAGATTTGATTTTTTTTTTTGAACAAACGCTAATGCATCGAAGAAGAGTATGAGAAGGGGAACCTTTGTTTTGGCTCTTCGTGGTCTATTTCTGTACTAATTTCCTTTCTATTTTCAGTATCACTAATGTTAAATGCGAATGGACGTAAATGGAACTTAAAAAGCTGTTTTCTTTTGTGGATTTTAATTTCATTGTTAAGATTATTGTTGTTGCACTCTCTATTCTTTTTACCTTTAGGCTTCTTTGACAAGTCCAGAGGTGAAGTGGGAATATGGAAAAGAGAAAGAAAAGTGCTTTTTTTTTTTTGGAAAAATGCATTTGCGTCTTAGTTCAGGACTTTGTGGCTTGTACAATTACCTGCCACGCTCCCACCAGGAAAACAATGACCATTTGCCATGTTAGGCTTCATCACCAATCCTCCACCCCACCCCACCCCACCCCAGCTGTCCTGTAGTATTTCTGAAGTTGGTTGCATTGAACAGAGTTAATGGGAATTCTTTTCCTTTCTTTTTCTTTTTCCCTTCTGTCACTTTCTGACTAAATTGCATAAGATATGTAGCATATTTTTGGCTCTTTCGTGGAATGTTCAAGAAGAGGAAATTGGTTGGTTGGATGGTTCAGACTTCTAAGGACCATAGAATGCCAGCAAGGGTCTGTGTGGGAATTGGTGGATATCAATGTTAAGAAGAACAAGGCCAGAACTGGAGAAGATTATAGAAAAAACATAAAGTTAGCTAAAAGATGCTTTGGGCTAATTGTTTTCAATGAAGAGCATTAGACTAATTGAACTCTAGGCAAAAAGAAAAACGGTGAGCAATTCCCAAAATCTGATCATTAAAAATTTGAAAGTACATAATGATTTTGCAACGCTCCACATTATTGGGTTCAAATCTTAACAATTACACAAATCTTTTTGGCAAACTCTATCTCAATGCAATTTCTGTTTCAGGAAATTCAAGTGGGGCTAGGCCCTTGCGGGCAGCTGGGATTCCCAGCTCATCCAGAAAGCATGGAACGTTGAAATTTCCTGGAATTGGAGAATTTCAGTGCTATGACAAGTTAAACTTGATGAACTAAAATGAAATTTCTCTTTTATTTATCTTTTGGGAAGGAAATCGAACATTAGCAACATTAGGTGATATATAGAACAATCATAATCTATTGTCCATAATTTGAATGATCAAACTTTGATTGTTCCAAAATGTTGAATCAGTGCATGAGTGCTTCACTTGAAGCAGCAGCAGAAGCCATCGGGAGGAAAGACTGGTGAAAGGGTAGGCCACATGATTCTGGCCAATGCAAGCAATTTCCCGAACAAACTGAGTTTTTCCGAAGGGATGGAACATGGAACACGGAGTATGGACAATCTTCTTAGATTGGTACTCTGGAAAACTACTGGAGCAAGGAGATAGGATACTTGCAGCAGCAAAAGGCACATTCAATGAAACTGGAGCTAAACTATCTGGAAAGATAGCTGGAATTCACTGGCATTACACAACAAGATCTCATGCTGCTGAACAAACAGCAGGGTACTACTGGATCAGATTCAGGCTACGGATTGAGTGCAGTTACATATTTAAGAATGAACAAAAGGTTGTTTGAAGGGGGCAACTGGCGGCATTTTGGTGGAATTTGTGAAAAGCATGTCGGAAGGAGGTAGGAAAATTTCAGAGAGCGACTCCCGGGGAACAAAACTTTACATTGGGCTTATCAGAGAGAAGAATGTCAAGAAAATTGAGGTTGCTCTGGTATAGAAACTTTGTACAGAGTCCACGTACAACAATATATGGTTTTACTGCATTATATATAAGCTAGTAAAAAAGAAAAAAGCAAAGACTATAGTCCATATACACCATAATTTTTTGTATCATATGCCAAACCAGTAGAAGGGTAAAACCAAATAAAATGATTGCATCTCCATAAATATATGGAGATTTCTTCCAATTGTTTTGGTCACCATTAAAGATTGAATCGGTGCAATACATAGGGTGCAATTAAATGCTAAATGAAGCATTCTTCAAAGCACCAAGAATTTGGCAGACATTTAATGATAAAAATTGTGAATTCTACATTGAGGGGAACATGGAAAACATAGACATGATAAATCATGAGATTCACGGAATATGAACCAATACATCATGTGACTAACAAAAGAATCATTTTATTTGCAATTCAGAATAATTTACTATTTATAGAAGAAAAAGTTGTAGACTATGGTTAAATCATGAATGCTAGCCCTACTTCGAACAACATATCGAGAAACTCAAAAATGGCCAAAGGCCCCAAGTATCAAACACAATTATGTATTTTTTAACATGCTCCATAATGTGTTTTGTTTTAAATTATACACCTAAAGTTGTTTGTTTCAAATAATTCTTTCACCCATAGAAGGAAGGTTTTATATAATGAACACAATATGTCGAATCTTTACAAAAATTGTCAACTGAGAAACTACAAGACATGCAATACACAACCAGAGAAGTACAAGGGAGCACTTGTAACTCCTAACCATGTTTTCGGTATCATTAGGGTCCTCCTTAAGTTTTGGCAAGTTCCAAGTCTTGAGGAGGAAAGTCGTTCAGTTACAGCTCCTTGATGCTTCCATGTAGCTGAATTTGCCACAATCCAGATGAAAAAGTTAATAATTTGGACATTCATCAAGATATTCAGTTTAGATACATGCATCCTGAATCAGTAAATGATGCCACTATCAACTCTTGGAACTCAACTTTAAGAGGAAAGACATTCAGCAATTGCTAGATAAAAGACGGGATGAGTGGAGAAGTTTACAAATGAGACAGGAGCAGAAGAACAGGATAACAAAATTTAAAGTTAAACAAGCAAATCAAATCACCTCATGCAAGTGGTTGCACAAAAGGAAATGAAACCAGAAGTTCCTAACTATCAGTTAATAGCTACAACAAAATATCAAAGTACTAAAGTACCAATTTTTTGGCGGTTACTACCTAATACAAAAGTAATAATACAAACCTCCAATGTCTAAAATCCAAACTGGGATCCACCTAGTAGCATCCTCACACAAAGTTTTATCCAATGATCCGGAATTAAAAAGAGGTAATTCGTTTTTACAGTATCAGATATTATAATAACTCCAACATTTATGATCTCTTACTTGGTAAGTTCTTCAATCTTAGACATGACACCATATACTTTTCTTTTCCTTGCTAGACCATCAGCCACAAACAGAAATGATTGACCAATTTACAAAACCAGAGAGAAAGCCTCCTGATTGAATGAGATATAATCAAACAAAAACCTTAAATCAGAGATGACAGAAAAATCTAAGAACCAAGACACATAAAAAAAGATATGCTCAAAATTAACCGCAAAAAATTCCGTAACTTTCCCACATCCTCACGATAAAATCACATTACTGGGAATGTGGTATAGGAAACGTATGGAATCTCCTTCCCACTGACAAAATTCCCACGAAAGAAGCCAACTTTCCTCTAATAACCAAGATTTCTTATTCTGTCATATCGCATTTGAAAGAAAAATCTAAAGTCAAAGAACTGGAAAATACCAATCAAGAATGCGACAGAGGTGAGGAAGAAGAGGAGTTGGAGTTATTATGGCGAAGACTTTCAATCAAGTCTCCAAGTTCTTTACGAGCCGATTCTCTGCCAAACATGAATCCATACCTGAATAAAAGATTTTGATAAACAAAATAAAATATCAAATTTTGACAGATGGAGATTCTCAAGCAAATAAAAAAAGAAAGTGGTGAAGCAATTGGCACCAATAAGAAACGGCTGAGAAGACACCGGCGGTGGCAACCGTTTGGAAGAGAGTAAACGATTTTCCCATGAGTTTTGTTTACTGATTAGCCGATTGGATCTTTATAACTGGGCTGACGACATTTCTCATTGGAATAAGCTCGATTGGTTATAGTAGATCGTATCCTTTCGGCCCAACTCAAAAAGGCCTTAGCGCAAATGGGAAATGAGCCTTTGTTATTGATTGATAAGCCTAAGAAATCCTTATCTTTTTCATTGAAAATGGAATTTTTTTAAGCAATTTATTGGATAAGAACTTACAATAGCTATTATTAATTTACAAGCATTCTTGATTTCAAAAATCTTGCTATTGTATAAAGTAGGAAAAAAAATGTATGCTAAGAACAAAGTTTTGCAAATTTGAGCGTCCTCTCGAAGGATCCATTATCCTTGAACTCGCCTTTGGATTGAACTTAAGCTGCACAATCCAAGGGGCATCTCATTTTACATTTAACATCTAAGAATTCACAGTTCAAACCTGTCAAAGAAAAAGTAAAAGCCAGCTTAGTCACTGATAAAAGGTTGTGTTATTGGCTCTGCTAAAGATGAGAAATATCCTGCAACAAACCTTATTTGATCTTCGGCTGCGCATTCTAGATGAAGATGTAACAGAAGAGCTACCATCTTCTGATTCTCGTATTGCTGCCTTCAAGCATTCTACAACTTGGCTCATTGTTGGTCTTTCCTTGGCATTTTTGTTTACGCAGCTATTAGCCAACTTTCCAACTTTTTGAGCTGCATTGAAAGAGTAACTGTTTGTAAGTCGAGGGTCTATTATCATTTTGAATCGTTTACTATCGGGAGGGAACTGTTTCACCAAGTCTAGAAGCTTCTGCTCCGATGTTGGGCGGTTTCTTTCCAGTGTTCGCCTCCCAGTGAGGATCTCATAAAGTACGACCCCGAAAGTCCATATATCACTTTGGATTGTGAGATGGCCTGTTTCAACATATTCAGGGGCAGCATATCCATATGTTCCAACCACCTTTAACAAAATTAAAGGAAATGCATCATGCTTCTCATAAATATTTAAAATGTAACTGTGACTCGTGAATAAGAGAGCCAACATACTCAGATGGAATCCGATTCATTCATCCAAATCTTTAATCCTTTCCTAACATGCAGAAAACCTTTGGCTTGATTTCCCAGAAAGGAAAATTTATGGAAGTAGATATATTTGGTATCCTACAGATATTGAGTGCCTAATGGGATAAACAGCTAAAAGAGCTAAATTATGTCTTCTACTTCACCATTTAAGATGTTGAGAATCAACATATAGTGCCAGGTGAACCCAACCAACAAGGATGCATCATGCAGTGCAGATTCTAGCAAACATCAAATAAAGTCAGAAGTCATGAAGTACTGCACTTAAATGGCTGATATCTACTTACCGCTGTGGATACATGAGTATGATCGCCTGTTGGCCCTTCCCTTGCAAGCCCAAAGTCTGAGAGCTTTGGCTTAAAATTTTCATCCAGGAGCACATTTGAGGATTTAAAATCTCGATATATCACCTGTTCAAATAACACAAGGCAGATAAGATTATGGAACCAATGTCAATTGTCTGCACTATAAGGATGCATTCAATGAAGTTTTTTGCTCTATTTTATCAGGTAGGTAATTGTGTGCATTAGTTGTAATAGATACAGAAGTAGAAGGTGATCTCAGCATTTAATTATGCAAGGTAGAGTGAATTATCCCTCACTTAATCTTTTCAATTGGAAAATTTTAGGTTTTTTGGGCATAAAGAGAAAATTGCCAATTGCCATCTGTTCCTCTTCTTTTTTCGTTCAGTTTTTTCTACTACTGAAACACGAGTACAAAAAACTATTTTCTTCTCAGTCTTCCCTTTCACACCCACCTCTTTCCAACTTACTTTTCTTCTCCTAGCAAAGCAAGTCTTAATGAGATAATTTAAGATGGGTTTTGTTGAAGTCATCTGAATAAAAGAAGATTGTACCTTGACTTCCAATCCCTCATGTAGATAAGCCAGTCCTTCTGCTGCACCAAGCATAATCTCCAATCTTGTTTTCCAAGGCAAAGTGAATGCCCTGCTAAAAAGATGATCTTCTAAGCTCCGGTTAGGCATGAATTCATAGACCAGCAGTCTTTGGATCCCTCTTTCTCCATCTACACAACAATATCCTAACAGTTTTACTAGGTTTGGATGATTAACAACACCAAGAAACTGAACCTCTGCAAGCCATTCCTTATGACCCTAGATGAGGTTAGCGAAAATATCATATGAAACACAAATTAGTTCTCAAAATAAAGTTCAACGATTTCATCTAGCAAAATTAAGAAACAGTAATTAGAACTAGTAAATGACAATAATAATATGAGTCCAGGATAATCCGTGAACCAAAGAGTTTAAACTTCAAAGACATGCACCTACTTTAAAGGCAAAAACTCATATATCAAACTACCTTGAAAACACTTCAGCTAAATCAAGGTAATCATGTAGATGAGCACATACAGAATTCTCCTTTCAGCAAAGACAATCTTATTTACTTGTTTATATGAAATTTAAGGAAAATGCACCTGCTCTGCAGATGAAATAGTTATACATTACGAGATATAAACTAGATGATTTAGAGGTAAAAAAAAAAAACCAGAGGTGTCTCACCCTCCATTTTGGAGACAGTTTTATCACTACAATGACAAATTTCCACTAAAAATAGCTGGAAATCTCTGTCAAAATGCATCAAAAACATGCAACTTATAGCAACCTTAAACATCCCTTTCTATGTTTTAGCAGACATACTGTTTGAGCAAGAGTTACTAGTGTAGCCATAATTGGGGCCAATCTTCAATCATCCAGGATGTTTTCTCCTTGGGATGATAAGCTAATGGAAAGAATACTTCATTAGAAATGTAAGTGATATGGAGAGCGACTAGACAGAGAAAAACACCTCATTGTTCAAACAAAGAATGGGGGACTGTACCTTAGATCAAAATCTTTTGGATCCTCAGAAGATTTGCAATTTTTTTTTTTTTTTTGAAATTACAAGATTTGCAAATATATAGTTTAAGTTTGTTAGTTCTAAGTTATTTCCCTTACTAAAAGTTAGAAACACTGAATCAGATTTGAATACAACATTCAATTCCCAATTAATCAACACTATATCCACCCCTATGCAGTTATCCACCATATCCGTTCCTAAAGTTTGTACAGCTACAGAGAAAATTAATCCCAAATCCCAATTTTGACACCATCACTAACTGATCATCATATGAATCAGCCTTACAGCACATCAGCAATATTCACTAAACTGGAGGTATAGAGCACCATTTCACTGCTGAATTTAAGACTAACCATCACATTTTGTTGCAAATTACTATGAAATCATTTTCGGCTATTACGAATAGAAAGACCAGAACAAGTGCAGGATGTTATCTTAGAAACATAGTCAGGCTCAATTTATATGTAAAAAGGCAAATTTAAAGAAAGAAAAAATTTGTACTAATTGTACCTGTAAACCCTGCGTGTTGAGCCTCTTGATAGCAACAACTAAAGGATCAGCTTGACCATTGAGAGGCCTAATTGTTCCCTTATAAACACTCCCAAAACCACCCTCTCCAATCTTTAGCATCCTATTGAAACCATCTGTTGCATCCCTCAACTCTTGTAAAGAGAAAACTCTCAAATTATGTTCCTTTTCTTTGTACAACTCTTGTATGCGCCTTGGAGATGGCAAAGATCTTGATGTCTGACTCAAGGCTGAATTATCCGATTTACTTTGGTTCCTCAATTCATGAGCAGCTCTTGATTCTCTTTTCTTGTTCTTCGATTTGTCCTTGATGAAGATAGAGAAACACTTCATTTCTAGGTTTTATATTACCAAAACAAAACTCTTCCAGTTATCCTATAATTTGTTGTATCAAACTGCAATCTTTTCCTCACATTTAACTTGTCTTCAAAGAGAGACAAGGAACCCAAGAAGAAAAACTGAGCCTTGAACAAGAACAAGGAAATTTAGACCCCGATAAGAAACAAGAGAGAGAAAAAGGAACCAGAAAAGCATAAGTGCCAAGCGGTGGAAAAATGAAGAAGAAGAAGAAAAAGAAAACCTGCGAGAAGAAAACAAGACAATTCTACGGATAGCGTGAACAAAAAAAGAAACCACTAAGAAGTCGCAAGAAAAAAAAATGAAAAAATAGAGTAGCCGTGAAGCTTAAGAGATTGAATTTTTATCAAAACAAGGGTACGAGAAATGGAAAGTGTAAACCCACACAAGAAACAGTTAAAGAAACACAGATTAACGTTTGGACAGAAGCGATAGGAAAGAAAAGAAAAAGGGCGAGTAAAAAACGATAAAATCAAAACAATGAAAAGGACAGGAGATGAGAGGCGACTAAATTTGACTACACTAACAGGAAACACAGAGAGACCAAACAAGAAAGAAGCAAACCTTCAAAAGCATCGCTATTTGACAGTTGTGCGTATGAATAGACAGAAGTAACAAAAACCCATATTATATACGGCTGTTTGTTTGATTTCTAAGGTATGATTTTTGTGTTAAAAGAAATGGACCGTCATACCTTCTAACATTGCAGAATCCTCTGCAGAAGGTGGATTGTGAAGGAGGGATCATCATTAAATACAAAAAAAGTAAATGGTCTACGTTGTTGTAGTTTGAATGGAACTGGAAAATCAAAAGGCTATAAAAGTTTCTTTGAAGTTAGCATCTCACATCTTCCCAGGAACAGTAGGATAAGACTTTGCGATATCTTCACCAACATGTCGTCACCTTTTCATGACTAAAATCTTAGAAACAAAAAAATTAAAACAAGTTGATCTCAAGACTTTTTAAGAGATGTTGCAAGGGTGGTTGAGTTTGACATTTTAAGCGGTCCCTTTATTCATTTAGTCCACGTGCATGACAATTAGTAGCAAACAAACCCTTTTGTTTTTTTTAATGAAAACATACTCTATTTATTTTAAAATTTATATTTAAGGCAATATCAGATTATGTTATGTTATTAGTAAACAATTTTTTTAAAATTAATTTTTAAATATATTTATTGTAAAAATAAATATTTATTCATTAATTAAATAATATTTTTTAATTTATTAATATTAATAATATATCAAATAGAAAAATTTTTTAATGGATGGGAAACAATTTTTACAACTCATTGATCTTCTTCCTCTTTGTTGCTTTTTTTTTTTTTTCATGTTTAATAAAACATGACAACACTAGCTCCATTAACAAATCTACCAACTTTACCATTTATATTTTCTTATTTTTAAAATATAAAATAAAATAATATATATATACACACATTATTTATCATGCTAACATAATTTTTTTTTTTTTAAAGTAGGTTCATCATTTTAATCAAATATGACTATTTGCTTTTAATCTATACATTTGATGTCTGATTATGGTTTAAAAAAATATATAAAAAGAAAAAGAAAAAGAAAAATAGACAAGTAATAGAAGTCTACAAATTGTTGGTCTTGTACAAAAAAATAAAGTCTTCTTTTATCATAGAGAAAATTCTAAAGTCACTTGGTTTTCGAGAGGGTAGGTTATTGACCTAAATAGACTCGAGTCTTCTTCAATACCGAGATTAATTTTTGGTCACATGTAAATGAATGTGACACATTAGTGGCATAGATATATTTTAATGGGATCAAAATTTTAAATTTTAATTTTTTTTTATAAATTAGATTTCAGTTTAAAAATAAACAAAAATTTTAAGTATAGGATTTAAGTTAAGATTTTTTAAATGTCAATTTTTAAAGAAAAATATATAAATTATATAAATTAAATTTTAAATTCTTAAATATGATCATTAATGAAGTTAGGAATATAATGGAGTCTCCATTTAATAATTAAACAACACATTTCTGGCATTTTCCACCACAATATCGGACCAAACAAAATACTGTAGGATATGCATAATATTTTTCACAAATAAACTTAGCAAAAGAAAAACAGAATCTTAAGGATTAAAAACTTTGAAATTATTGCATAATTTAATCTATAGCCAGCTAATAAAACTTAATAAAAAAAACTTATATTAATGCCTATATAAAATTTTGTCAAATAGGCATAATTTTCCGACCCCAAAAGTTAAAGTTTGCCCTAATTAAATTTTTTGTTGGAAAGAACAAAACCAATTTGAACCCACGAAAATCAAAGTCTACCAAATAAAAAAAAAAATCAAAGTATGAAATCAATTGTTATATACATTTGGCCTGCGACGAAAATTATGCAATAAACGATTATGATTTCCACTTAAATTACGTGTTTAATTTGTTAATTTTATTATTTGAAAAGTATTTAATTCGGTTAGAAACTTAGAATAATGAGCACCATTTGGTTTTAGCTGTAATTTATTTGCTTCCTTTTGTCCTTGTACGACTTTATGTTGTTTGATTAATAAAAGATATTGTATTACTGTTTGTTGGAATTTTTATAACTGATTTGACGCAATCCTAACAATACGAGTGCTGTTCTATTGGCCTCTGTTTATAATCAAAACAGCTTTTCCAGCAGTAGGTAGGACTAATGATGGCAACCAGTGGGAAACTCCACTGCATTTTAAAAAATAAATATTTGAATTTAAATTTTATATAATAAATATTTTTAATTTGAATTGATTCGTTATTAAAATATTAATTTTTATATTTAATCTGATTTACGTATTTATAAAATCATAATTGATTGAGTTAATAAAAATTAATTTAATAGTTATAAAATATTATTTTTTAATATAAATTATATCTTAATTATACATAAATATAATATTTTTATTAAGTTAAATTAAAGTATTACATAATAATTTTATTAATATAATATATAAATATAAAATTAAATAAATAATAAAAATATTTTTTTATATATATTAAATCGAGATAAATTTACTTTAAAAATCGATCTCAATTTTATTTTAAATAAATTTGATCCGATTTAAAATTCAATTAAAAAAAAATTGATTTTATAAAATCAAATTAAATTGAAATCCGACCGATTCAAATATTATTGCCAACTCTAAGTATGGCCAATAATGAACCCATTAGTAGAAATAAAACAGTACTTGCGGAAATTCAGAACAATGTGTAGAGTAAAAAAAATAAAGAATCATTCAGCTGTTGTATTATACAAGGTATGATACAAACCAATACACTCAAATAAATACACTCTAAAATACATAAGCTTCCCCGTCACCTACGGCGACAATTTCTTATTTCCAGGAAGAAGAATGCTAATGCTATTCAATGAATCATAGCGAGGACAGTGGGGATAGCACATGGAAAGTTCTGCCAAACTCTTTCATTGATTCACCGAAACTGTCGTAAAATAAAATCAACTCCACAACCATAGCAGTTCAACAATGGTAGCCACCAGGCATATAGCTAGTAATTCTTCAATTCAATGTGGCTGCAAATAATCCTGACAGATCATCAGGTGGTTCGTTCTAACTCTTTAATTAGGAGTCGAAAGTAGCCGCCGGTTCATTGCAGGTGGTGCTAATCCTGGGATATCCCGGATGTCCTTGTTGTTTGGATTCACAAGCTGAAAAAGGAAACCCCATAATTGAACAGAGGATTAACATAACTGGCTTTCCACATGGCATTGTGGCACTTGAGAGTCTAGAGAAACTGCTTCTAATAGTCAGCTGGGTTAAATACAATCGACGGTAAGATGTTAGTTCAGTAATACCTTCACGATTATGATGACTATGACACCGATGACAATGAGAAACAACAATGCCATAATGCACTTATCAGTAGCAACCTGTGTGCAAAAAGAAAACAAAATTAGTAAATAAGATTTAATACAAGACAGAGCATCTGAATGAAAGGAAGTGGATGTTTCAGAGATTGACCTGCCTACCAATTGCTTTGACCAATTTAGATGCTTTCTTGATTGAAAAATGGATAGAATCCAGCTCATTAACTATCCTGCTCATTTGTTCAGTCTAAAAATGACAGACATTATGTATCTTAGTATGAATATCACCGTAGAATCTCAAAAGGTTAATACAACCAAATAGTAAAACAGTTAATTGAATAGCAAAATGCCATGATGTTGATAATTCTTAATGCTTTCAAGTTATGTACCTGAGCCTTGAGAGCTGCAGCAGTCTCTGTTCCAACATCAACAGTGTCTTGAACAACCTATAATAAACAAGGGACAGGTAAAAATTAGTCTTCCTTTTCCAACAACCATAGAAATATAACAAGGGGGGAATTGAGGAAAGAGGTTGCACATCCCAAGACTTCTTGCCATTTGTTAGTTTTAAGTTTAACATAAAAAGAAAATTTCAAGAACCAAAGCTTTAAATACAACCAATTATTTCTCAGTAGAGGAAGATGCAGGATATGCTACAAAATCTGATGCAGCAAAAGTTTGGACACCAACCTTCTTAGCCCTGTCAATGGCTTGATCAGTCTCATCCATCATCTGGTTTCCTCTATCCATTAGCTGTTGATTTGTCATAGCTGCATAACATACAGGCCGTCTCAGAAACAGTTTAAAATTGAAGCAAATATGACAGCTACACATTATTTCCAGTAAACATTCCAATATCATCCCACCAATCAATGTAAAGGAGTCAGAACCACTATGAAGAGTGCAAAGCCTAACTCAGGTACAGCAGTGGAAGAACAAGGCTTCATGGTTAAATGACATCTAGAAATTTAAGCTGCCATAAAATCAGATTATAAAAGTACGTTTTAGCCATTAGATGAGTTCTGATCAACACTCCAATAGTTATTTATAAAGCAAAGTTTACACTATTCCTTCCCAGTATGACAAAACATAAAAGTACAATTACAAACAGGTTGACTTTATGTACAAGGAGCGAGATAATTTTGAATTAAATGATCAGAAGTTTCTTTGTCAAGCATCTCATCCCTTGACAACATATATTCTAGCAATGGCACAAAATTACTAGCATATCTTACAACCACCACCATTAGATAATCACTCTAAGCTAAACGAGAAATTGAGAATTGTTATGTCCGAGCTTAAAAGGAAAATGAAAAATAAAAGACATAATATTTGGTGCGAGTAAGTTTGCGCATCTGTGTGTATTGTCAATGCCATTAAGGAAGCGAGATGTCTACCTATGTCACTATTTGTACAAAAATTTTCAACTTGAACTTCCACATAAACAAATCAGCTAAAATCAGAAAAGCTGATATACTTACATGAAGCTAGCAAGACGTTTTCTTCCCCAAAGCCTTCATTAGGCCCCTCAAAGAGATCAACTCGTCTGTTGTTCTCAAGATTGCTTTGATGTCTGTGACACAAGAAAAACAATGTCAACCCAAGCCAAATTACACATCAATAAAATGAAACAAAACATTCAACAAAGAACCAGGGCTTATTGAAACCAACGAAATTATTATTGTATGATATCTATAGTAATTTCCTTAACAAATTAGCAGTTGCCAATCAATAACAACCTTAGTTTACTGGCAAAAGATTGCAAGGATGGCCAAAACAAAAGCTTAAAAAGAAAAGAAGAGATAACTTGAAAATGTTGGAGGGCTTATTTAACCCTAAAAAATGGATAAACTCTACGGGTATGCATTATAAATTATTTACAACTGGTAAGAGCATGATGTTATCTCTTCATTCCACAAGAAACAAAATGGATAACTTCTAATGGTGATATAAACTTACTGCTTCTTAAGGGCAACGTATGAATTCAACTCCTTGACCTACATGAGAAACCTATGAGAATGAGAAACTTCGAACACAAGATACTCTAACTGAAAAAACAACAAAAACAAATAAAACTTGATAGTTATAAAGTACCATTGACTGCTTCTTTTCGTTCAGCATTTTGTGGGTGTTTGCATCAGTTCTACTCTCCATTTCCTTCGCTTCTCTATCAAACTCTTTGATGAGCCTGAAAAGGATAAGTAGATAGTATTTTAATTCGAACCAATGGAAAAACAGTTTTAAGTAATCACAACAGCAATAGCATAGCAGACCAATTCTTAGAACCTCAATTCTTTAGTGAAGAGATCAACGCAAGAACAGATGGGTAACCAAAGCATTATTATTCGGATTTATTCAAATTAACGTAAGATATGGTTTCAAAAGCAAAACTTTCAAGGAAGGATGAGTATGAAAATACCTCTTACACTCGCGCATCTTGTCGGTGAGCTCTTCCAATTGCCTACTCTGCCGATTAACATCCTTAACCTTCTCCAGTTTCTGGAATCCATTTCTGCAATGAAAACACAGCAACATTTTTAAAAATGTAGAAAAAAAATCGAAATACTATGAAATCAGTAATGCCTAAGCTCAAGTTACTTCCGATAGAGTAAAAAATGAAGATAAAAATTACATTTTTGACAAAAAAAATCATTTTTTAACGCAACGAAATAACAAAAAGCAATATTTATAACAGAACAATCTCATTGAAACCTACATTGCAGAAAAAACGAAAAAAAAAAGAATTTAAATTCATACGATAAAGCTCGAAAAATGTCGGCGATTTGTCCATCGATCTCCGCTAGCTCTTCGCTGACCGCAGCTAAAGGATCCATCTTTCAACCTTGAGACGTAATCGGCTATCTTCTCTCTCAATTTTACTTCAGTCTTCACGCATTAAATGAATTTTCAGAGAATAAATGAAGGAAATTTTCTATTTTTGAGTTTTTCAGCTGTTTATTGACAGGAATGACGATTCAAAGACACGATGGCCAAAACACCAAAACAGGAGATTCAAAATTCTGAATCGGATCAGACCAGATCCGTACGATTTTCAAAAACTGAAACTCGAAATGCTTACAATGCCGAGCCAATAAATTATCCTCAAAACTCAATTACACGGGAAAATTTGAGGCGAATCTTTAATTCCCGATAAAAAGCCAAAAAAAAAAAATCGATCTTTCCAAATGGAATGCGTAAGATTTCAAATGCGGACCAAATTGAAAGAATTAAAAAGATTACGACATTTGAAATCCGATTCCATGCGATGAATGCTATATTTTGGAATGGATCAGCGAAGACAAAAAAATGGGAAGGTTTTTAAAAAGCTCGACAATGGTGCGTCCCGATCCAAAACAGCTTATCAAACAAACAAGGTAACTCCTCGTGATTTACAGACAAATTTGATTTTTTTTTTATAAAAAATTTATTATGAAGGATTTTTTTTAGATTTTTTTTTTTGACTCGTAACGGAAGGGGAGTGGTTTCGGCTCGGAGGTTGAAGGTTTAAAATTTTCGCGATAATTTAGGCCGTTTAAACCGGAAATTACAGACTCAGAAGTGGGGGCCCACCACTCAGGTGTTTGTTAATTTGGGCCTAACCCAAAAAGCATTGGGCGTGGGATTGGATCAAGACCATATTATCTTGACCCGTTCTTTTCAAGTTACTATAAACGGCCAACAAGAAAACCCTAATTCGTCTTCTGTTGCTTTCTCTGGAAGAGCCGCTTCTTCAATTCTGAGACCAGACAGGGAGATCCTCTCAAGCTAACAACAATGGTACTCGCTTATTTCTTCTTGGAACCATTTTCTTTTTGTGATTTGGGTATGTTTATAGTTGTGCTTGTTTCCTGAGAAAATGCTTTCCACATAAATTGTCTGTTAAAAGTAGTTGGTTAGCTAATCAAGAAGAAAAAGTTGATGCAGATATAAACACCCTTTATAGCTAAATGTAAAATGTGTTATAGCTACGTTACTGGTGGTTGAAAGGGTTCGGCCATGATGTCTGTTAATAGATTTGCTTTAGGGTAAACTACAGTCACAGAAGGCTAGAATGGTAGGAAAGAAATTGTAAATCTTTTGGGATTGGTTATGTTATAGCCTGTTTATGTGGTCTTATGAAGAATTGAACAAGAAGAAAACAATCTGTGGTGATTGTGGGGTGATTGTGGGCGTGTGTGATTATGTTTTAATTGTTTAATGTTTTTTTTTTGGTGTAATTCGTTAACTCCATTATTTTATTGATGATGCAGACAAAGAGGACGAAGAAGGCCGGAATTGTTGGAAAATATGGTAGGTGTTACTGCATTTTATGAAGTTTTACTTTGTTTTGTTTTCTTAGAGAGTTTCTAGGTGTATGAAAGGATCCATACTGTTTGAAAGATCAGTACCATTCAACTAGCCATGCATTTGCTGGAAATTATCGCCTTTCTAGGTGTTATCCAAATTGATTCCAGTTTTTATTCATTGTAACTTTACTCTTGAAGTTGTTCTAAATTAAAATGGGATTTAGGATTTAAAGTCTGAGGTTTCTGATTCCTTGTTTTGCCTCTCAATGAAGGTACCCGTTATGGTGCCAGTTTGAGGAAGCAAATTAAGAAGATGGAGGTCAGTCAACACAGCAAGTACTTCTGCGAGTTTTGTGGGAAGGTAGGATGTTCTGATTATATGTTTGATCCTATACCATCTCAGGCTTATTTTTATTGTTTTACCTGTCTTTTGGTGTGCTTGTTTATTTGAGTTGCATGTATTTGTTCTAATAAACTCTGCTCCCACTCCCACAGTATGCAGTGAAGAGAAAGGCCGTGGGAATCTGGGGCTGCAAGGATTGTGGGAAAGTCAAAGCAGGCGGTGCTTATACTTTGAAGTAAGCAGCCATTTCCACACTTCAATTTCTTTTCTTTGGATGTTCAAGTAACTAACTAGTTGCTGCATTGTTAATTTAACAGCACTGCTAGCGCTGTGACAGTGAGGAGTACTATTAGGAGGCTGAGGGAGCAAACTGAGAGCTGAGCCAACAGACCAACATTGGCATATCGTACTTTCATAGGATGTTTTGTATGTTTTAGCTACAGACTAGCTGAGCTCTTTTTTGACAATTACGTGCTATGTGCTTTATTCTCAAATTTTTATCCGACTCTTTTATTGGAAGTTATTTAAGTTCAAATGTTTGAGTTGTTTGTTTTGTCATCATCTTGTTAAGTTGCATCAAAGTAAGTTTGGGTCTTTTAACTCTTTTTCTCGGCTAACATACCTTGGATTAAACCATTCGAAAACATCACCTAATGAACTCCAAAACACGAAATCCTCTTCTTCCTCTGCTTCATTTTCTCCTTGCATCCTAATCTGAAGAAAACTACAGCCTCCAAGGTGCAATATCTGTACGAGATCAATTAAATGTCACAGGCTCAGAACATCCGAGATAAAAACTTCCCCCATAACTCTTTGTAAGTCTATTATTAGTCCTTTTACTTCATATCTGTAAAAGCTTTTTTAATCCAAATCCGATCTGGAGGACGAGCGTTTTACCACTGTCCAAATCCCTCCTGGACGAAATCAACAGTGGATTGCTCAATGCTTATGGATACTCTCATGTTCATCTTGGAGCCACTCGATTTGGTTTAACCTTCCATGGCAGATAAGGATTCCCAGTAGTCACTGGAATTGCCTTGCTTGATTCTAGATTCATAGAGTGCCTGCCTTTATGTTTAGCGATAGCCGATACAAATCTCAACACTGGAACATTGGAACTTCTTTGTGACTCTTTCCCCAAATTTTCCATGTTCCTACAGCGCTATTCAGCCAGCGGCCACTGCCTTTCAGGTACACATGCAAATTGTTGGAGCCCCTATCGACCCAGGCCTAATTCAAGCCACTCTTCAATTTCAGATGGCTTACAGAGTCCAAGATCATGTGCTAAGGACAATCTGCTCATTCAAGCTAACTCCCAAAATATAACCAGCACCACCCACATTCCTTCAAACATCTCATGGGTTAATGTCAGGGTCACTATGGTAGAGCTTCTTCTAGAAGGTTGTGTGGATCAAATTTTGGGTCAAAAGCACCATTTGGATCATGAATCTTGGATGAATTGGGCTTGATATGGGTCTCGTGGACCTGTCTAGGAAGCTTTTGATAAGGATTCATGGGATTGGGCCTGTATACTGCAGATTAAAGTGAATATCAGAATGAGTGGGCTAAGGCCAATATCCCATTTTGACAGGTTCCTGTCTTCTGTCGAAACGGTAATTAGAAAATGTTGAAAAATCTCAACAAAATCCGTATGTAATATAAATTCTCAACGAAAAGAAAGCATTTTCTCAACGAACTAACTTGACCTAAATGTAGTAAGTTTTTCAACAACTTATGCACCAAGAGTTAGTGTTAACATCTTCTTTCGGTTATTCTCGTTAAATGGAGTACATTCGAAGCTGACGGGACTGGATGGTTTTATCCAGGACATAGAAATGCAACTAATTACATTTACAAGAACAAAAAGAACCAAGCATTACCAGGCTCTTTAGGCACCTTAGTCCCATCACTCAAACTCAAACTTTGTACATTACTAAAGGTCTTCTACTTTATCTCATTTAGAAAAGGATATTTGGGATAAAACCCGATTTAAACTTGACGGTGAAAGTTTATTTTACCATGATGTGAAATTTTGCCATATGGATCATCTAGATTTGATGTACACAACTTTGTCGTCTAGTCTATTTGATCTATTGTGCCATGTCTACATCGGAGAATGGGACAACTGACCATGATTCAGGTATGTTAAAGGTTACTTTTGCGTCTAAAACCTCCTAGTTAATAAATCTTACATACAGTTAAAAATTCCAATTATTATTTTTTTATATTAAAAAATCCAACACCTTTTTAGAAAAATAATTCAAGACACTTTTGCACTTTTGGGTACATGGCTTTTATCGAGGCCCCACTCTTTCAATGGCATGCATCATTGAATCCAAATAAAGCACAAAGCTAAGCTCATTAAAAGACATTGATCTGGGGAACGTTGGGGACCATTTGCAAGAATAAGTAGAATAAAGACCCATCTTGGTCGGTCCTTGGCCCAAACCAGCATATGTGTTCTTAGGCACGTATATCTTTACATTAAATAAACGGGGGTAGTTGGCTGCCATGTGGGGATGGCGTTTGGGGGGATATAAACAATTTCTGACTACTCATCTTTCTTCACTTGTCTTATTGGATCTTTTACCGGGGAATTACAAGATTGTGCAAGTCGGCTGTCATAAATGAGAGCCCAACTTGATTGTGCAAGAGTTAAACAACATAACCATATTGAAAAAGCTTAATCCAAGATTACATTCATTTCCTTTTTCGTTCTCTGTAACTTTCCTCATTAACTTACATACAACAGAAGAAAGTGGAGGAGAATCATAAAAGGTTCATCACCAGACACAGAAGAACTAATATAGGGGCAAAAATCTTTAGCGTGTACAAATTTAAGAACCAGAAAGGCAAGCAAATTGATACAAAAAGAATCATTCTGTGAGAATATGTATGGGACAATTGATTCACTAAGTGAATGCTGTTAAGCAATTAACAGATAATATACCGTGAGAACAAGGCAAAACACAGAGCACACAGGTCATATAATCAATAAAGTACAATGGAGGGTATAGCTGAAAGGCAATTCAATAGTTACTCTACCAAGAAAAAATTCGGACAAAGAAGCCCAAGGAAAGGCTACTAAATTGAAATTAATACTTGCTGGTTACAAATATGCTTTATGGTAATTCTTTTAGAACATATAAAAAGGACCTGAAACATGATTACTTGAAAGACTACCGAACTGTACCTGATCTTTCAAAAGCTTTACTTCCAAAATAGAAGCTAGGCAATACAAACTCATGAGAACCTATTGGCCAAGAGGGAGATTTCATCCCAGTATTATGGCTTGTGAAGCTTGAACCCAAATACTCTTGGAACATAGGTTTGAGATGCCTTTTGTGGCTTCAGGTGGCCGTACGTCATCAGAAACAGGTGAGGAAATGTGGTCCCAAAATAGGCTCCATCAATGTCTAGATAGAATTAAGGTAACTCATTACATACTCAAAGCAACACAACAAGGCAGAAATGCTGGAAATAAAAACATTGACCATATGACAACATATCAGGACATTCATGTTACTGCTACCCAGATGTATTGGCTGATAACCACCTCATATTTACTAAAGACTGAATTGGTTATAAACATTGATCATATGACAATATCAGGACATTCGTGTCACCTCTACCAAGATGTATCTGCTGATAGCCACCTCATATTTACTAAATAATGTATCACTATGATGTATCATATTGGGTCCTTTCAATAATATTAACAAAAATGGTTCTCCATGGGACAAGTAAAGTTCACCTCATTTTTGGAGATTATAATCTACACTCAGAGGGTGGAACACCCCACACCCCCCTAAGGGTACTTTGACATGAAACATATCACTGAGCTTTATTACAATATCTCAGTCTCAGACAGCAATTTTGGTATCCGAACTTTTTCATTTTAGTAAATTATATCAGTTACATCCGGTTATCATTTTTCATTTTATAGGAAATGTAATCTTAAGTTATCCTTCCAAATAGCTGGCCAAAAGTTTGTATTCTCTGGCCAAGAAACAAGTTATTCCCAGGAAGTTTGCAAGATGCTGAGAGAAGTAAGCTTAAGACCTCAATGCAGGAACTATAAGGAAATGTAAAAAATCATAGATGAATATCATAAATGCATAGAAGTGGCAGAAAAGAAAGCATATTCATGAAATGCATGCAACAAGAAGTAGCAAACAATTTCAGTGACCAAAAGGATACTGCCTTGATACTTGGACCGAGGGTAGTAGATATCTTCGCATCTAGGGCAGTATATTTTTACAGTGCTTGACCGAGGGATATCTGATTGACCAAGTGGAAGACATGGCTGTCCACAGCAGTAAACTCTAGGGCATCTTCCAAAATCATAGTTCTTGTACTTGTCTAGCTGTAAAAGTTTCAAAAAAATTATTGTAATAATATGAATACATATGAAAACATGAAACCATCACATTGAATATCATGGCAAGCTTCTCACCATAGCAGCAATTCCTTTGCTTGTCAATATGTATCGGGCATGAATCAGACCGTAAAGCATTTCTGCTGCCGATTCAACTAATTCATTTTGCTCCTCCGTAAACATATCACCTAACAATTTCAGCCCATCAAAAATTAAACATTGCAAGAAAATAAGATATAGATACTTGCCATGTTGCTAGATGAAATCAATAATATGTTCCACTTAAATTGACATGTTATCAAGAACATCAAATGCAGAAAAATTGAAAAACTTGCCATCTTTGATATTTAAACGCAGTCAAATTAGAATAAAACCATATAATGAAACTAACTGCTTCAAAGAACATAAATGGTAATGTTAACACTCTCGAAAACTAATAACAGAATGGCACACATTCGACAAAAACAAGAAGAAACAAACTTTCACACATCCTAAACAATTTGACATGAGAAGAAACAAACTTGGCTTACCATGAGAAGATTCAACATCCAAAATCAAATCAAGTGCGTAATCATAATAAGGAACTTGGCTGCTTAGCCCACAAAGGTTAAAATCATCTTGTATATAGTCATCATCAACTTCACAAAAGAATTCATTTCCACGTAGGTTGCAAAACCATGAGATCCAAGACGTGTCATCTCCATCAGAACCACTAACATCTGACTCTTCACTGTCTGTTTCAGATTCATCTGCAGTCAATGCAATCAAAATTTGCATCAGCAAATGTCAATAACAAGTGAAATAAAAAACCAATTGCACCAAACACTAAAAAGAAACAACCTTCACTTTAAATACATGGTTCACCAAAAATTGAGGAAAAGAACAGAAAATAAGAAGAACCCACCGGATTAGTAATCATGAACAAATAAAAGTACAATCTTAAAAAACTGAATATATGGAGGTTTAAAACACACATGAATTTGGTTTGATTTTGAAAAATGACAGCTCCCTCCAAAAGGGGGAAGAAACCAAAAAAAAAAAAAGTTAAAATCAACTTAGTTTCAAAGCCAACACTTCATTTGAGCTATGAACACAGATGTTGAGGAAAGCTAATTCATACAAATACAGGGTTTGGCCAATATCCAAATAATCTCATCAAAGCAAACACTGTGACAATCTAAATTAATAATGTTAGTTTAACAAAGCATGTCTTTTTTCCCATTTTACCGATAGAGAAGCACATTAATATTAATACGATGCAAATTCACAATTTCATTTATATACAGCTTCAATTACAAACATTTCAAAACCTTTTAGCAAACTTAATTTCATTAGAAATCAAATATATGAAATAATGAAAACAGCATACAATTTCGAAATAGTCAGGTCTGAAACTAGATGTAAAATTGAATAAAGATAATGAAAAACTCAATTACTCATATTTTCTAATATGAAAACAAGAAAAAAAATCCAATTTTCAGATAAAATCCTAATTTAATTATTGAAAGAAGTTTGATAAAGTTTATACCATCGGAGGCGTTTGCTTTTGGTAGGGAGTTTGCGGACTTATCCTTGCCATTGATCGCCCTCGAAGTGGACGGAGACGATCGTTCCAATTGCTTATCAAGCGCCTCGTTGATCCGCTTCCGATCCACCGACATCTTCTCTTTATCTCTTCTCCTCCTCCTCCTCTTCTTCTTCTTCTTCTTCTTATTTGCCGATGATATTAATCGCTACCGTTATCGCCGATTCACAGCGTGAAACGACGCAAATGACCTCCCCGAAAATCTAGCGTGATTCATAGCGTGAAGCTAACCCATTTTTATTTTTTATATTTTTTTTCTCTCTCTGGATTTTATTGGGCATTCAAATTTCGCTTATTATTTTGCTGGATGGAGAAAGAAACAGGTTAGAGAGAGAGATATTTTTAGATAGAGAAAAGGTTAAAATCGGCAGAGAAATTTTACGTTCCGGCGAGTTGAATGACAAATCGGCGGGGGATATCTTTGGTTTGCCTTTAAAGGGCGGAGGCTTGTATTGGGTCTGATGTCTACACGTGGCGTGTGATCAGCGAGCCACAAGTTAAAGATATTTTTATTATATATATATATATATAGATATATATATTAAATAAAGAATATGGTTTAAGAATTTAGTTAAATAAATAAATGAAATTTCATGTATTTCTTTTAAAAAATTAAATCTTTGGCTTGAAACAATAATAAATGTAATAATCCAATGCTAGATATTACTATTATTAGCTGTATAAAAGATTAATAGATAAATTGAAGTTCAAGTATTTAAAATTTTCATTTTTTGTTATTGAGAAATAGAATATTATACTAAAAAATTAAAAATTTGCATGTTTTATCATTTTAGTTAATTTTGTGAAATTAATAATATCAAATGTGCAAATGAGCCAAGAAAATTTCAATTTTTTTAAGATAAATTTTATCAGGTACATTTTTTTTTTACAAATTACCATTTAAAAAATACTATAAAATATTGATTTTGGATCATTAATTATATATAAATAAACAGAATGAAAATCTAAAACTGAAAGAGAATCAGACGAACTTTGAATATTGCGGACCAGCTATTGAGCAAGTAGTTAGGTGAGTAGAGACTATCGAGCATTTTAAATTTGATAATTCGTGTAAATATATTATGTAAAAAATTATATTTATATTTTATTTTATATAAAAATTATATATAATAATTTGTGTTAATTAAAATATAAAATATAATTTTTTATTTTATTAAATTTATTTATAATTTTTTAAAATTTTAAATCATATTATTTTTATATTATATCATCGTATGTTATTATATCATATTTTAAATTATTAAATATAATATATTTGATTAATGATATTTTCTGATTCTCTCCATCCTAATTGTCTGTTACCACCAAACAATTTTTACATATCCAATAATTTTATAATTTAAAATATGATACAATAATATAATATAAAAATAATATAAATAAAAATTATAAAAATAATATAATTTAAAATTTTAATTAAAATTATATATAAATTTAATAAAATTAAAATATATAAATTTTATATTTTATATTGATGCAAAGTATAATATATATTTTTATATAAAATATAATAAAAATAAATAAATAATATTATATATATATATAAATACATAAATGATCATATCGCAGCACTGCTCTCAGCTGGCTCAGCACCCAACTTCATTTAAGTAGACTAATAATTTTTTATTTTGCCTTGGAACATCTGTCTGGGTCTGGAACACCGACTTGTAGGGTAAGACAAGTTGGTACTTTGATAGCTGATTTTGTTTAAATTCAAGTTGTTTCAGTTTTCACCCAATCTTTTCCAAAGAATGATTCGTAAATACTGATCCCTACAGGATAAAGCTTAATGCTTCAAGATTTCGTGGTGCGTTGCATTGTTTCACGAGTAAAAATTTTAGAAATTGGGTGTGAGCCTTAACACCTTGCACTCATCTTTTGATTCTCGTGTGGTTAAAAGCATTGGTTCTCTCAAACAAGGGACCATGTCTTTCGGGAATTTTCTTGTTTTCTTTTCTAAAAAACAAGAGGCATGGCGTTGGCATTATAGGCAAAATTGTCTTCGTCAAGCGAGAGAACATGTTCACTCTCTTCGAGCTGTCAAATCCAAAAGATCGTTTGATCCTTTCTGTTTCCACCTCTTTAGAATGAAAATAATTTCAAAGGAAAAGAGAAAGGTGCTGAATAGGATTTTCATTTATTCGATTAATTTTGAATTAAATTATTTAAAATTAAATTATTTTATTTTATTTTTATTAATCAAATCAAAATTATTAATTTTAAAAATTAATCTATGAATTTATTTTCTTGATTTAATTAATTTTTTAAATTAATTGATTAATAAATATATTTAAATTAAATTAAATTTTAAATTTTAAAATTTTCATGTTTTAAATAAATTAAATAAAATTATCTAATAAAATATTTAAATATCAAAATATTATTTTAAAAATTCTGATAACTTATAAAATAAAATAATCTATTTCATATATTTTTATTTTATATTTAAATTTTATTATATTTTAATTAATTCAAAATTTAAATTAAATTAATAAAAAACTAAAATTTTTTAAAAAACATTTTCATTAACTTTTAATCAATTAAAATTAATTTAATAATTAATAAATTAATCAAATTAAATAACTTCAATCAATTAATTAAATTAAAATTGAATTATAAAAATCCCTAAACTGCTTAAGACTTTGCATTGTTGTGATCCATTGACGGACACCATATTTCTCTCCCAAGGTACACTAAACAGCACAAAGATGAGCAAATCCTAACCTAAAAAGTTTCTCCTCCAATCAGAGAGCTTTCAAGATAATCTGTCTCGTATATTCATACAAAAAAACCGCCATCAATCAATCCTGTCGAGAAATTGTCTTCTCTAAGTTTCATCCGAAATTTTATCTCCACGCCGTGATTTAAAAAGGCCTTTGTTCATCCCACAATGGTAAACAGCTTTTACATATATACTAAATTTACAACAATAATTATGTTTTTAATGACAAATGGTTTGAAAAGTATTAGAAAGTCCCATTTACATCCCATCATTACCAAGTAATGAGAACTTTACATGTCCACCAAATAAAACATATCCATCTTTTCCACTGGGAAGTTTACAACTTCATTTAGTCACGAGAATTTTTGTTTCCTTTATAATAGGAATGGTGTGATTGAGTTAATAAAAATTAAATATTTTATTTAAAAGATACAAATTTTATTTTTATTCTCAATAATTTTTTCGTTGTTAATAAGATTCACATTTTCCAGTGTCGTATCATGTCGGCTATTCGAGTCGGTGCTTTTCTGTGCTTTGCAATCCTTCTGAAACGACATCGGCTAAAATTCGTTTACTTTATGATTTGACACCCTCGGGCCTCGGCCCATGGGATTTTCCCTCTTCCATCAAGTACATTTTCTTTTCCGAAACCATCCACGAAGACAGCAATTAATAATTCATTATCGCAATTAAATTTTTTAAACTAACATGAATAATAGTGCTTTTTTAAAGATTTAAAGACACTGAAACTAATAACCCATGTACTTGTCTCTTTTTAATTTACCAACAAAGCTTGGGGGTTACCATTACAATGGTAAACAGTTATTTCTTTATGATGACAGCAACTCCAATATCAAATTTATGGTGAGAGAAATGAAATGCTAGTTGATAAAACAACCCATCCTCCTTAATTCTGTGTTTGAACTACCTGAATTACAAGTCACAAGAAGTGTCTCAATGGTTACGATTGCTCAACGTGGTTAGTAATTGCATCAGGGCAAGATTGTGCTTGTAGAAGCTCTAACCGGTTGAATGGTGGTGCAAATTGCAATATGTAATCCTCGTCTGAAGCCATCAAGAAATCAGAATAACTACTCAGTCATTATCTAAATATTGGTTCCATTTGATTACGGAGACAAGGATGCAGAGAGAGAGAGAGAGAGAAACACGGGGAAAAAGATAATGAACTATATAACTTCCATGGTGCCTGTTTTTACTCAATCATATGGAGCTCAAGCACGTGGAAGGGTAAACTAAAGTTAGAATCTTACTCTCTTTAACTGTTCCATAAAGCCAGCACAATACTTCATCAGCAAATGCCAGGCAGACTCCTCCCTAACAATGATTTTTAAGCAGGGAGAGAAGGTTAGTAACACCAATATTTATTCCGTGGAGCTGTAATGACCTTGACTAATCACAATGACATTCAACAAAAGCAGCCATAAAAGATGCTTTCTTTTCTGGTAAGAGTATGCTAAATAAAAAAGTTACACCAATGGGTGTTCGAATTAATAGATGTAAGCAAAAAATAATCAGGTTTTTTTTTTGGCCCAAGGAAAAATAATCAGTTTAGTGCATGTATATTGCAGGAAAACATGAGTTACATACCGGTAGTACTTCATTGTCACTGTACTATGTCCTTGGTTATACCAATGGGCATACGATTAAAAAAAAAAAATCAATTCCGTGAATGCATTTGCTGTAAATGTATAATACCTGCCAATAGTTCTTCATTTTCACTCGATGGGTTATATCTTTGGTTCTTAGTCTCTCAGTTCGTACAAGTCTGCCTGCATCATCCCTACATCAAACATGTGAAAGCAAAAGTTTAACATTTATTTGCAAAGAGAAAAACCCAAAACCAACAGCAACAAACAACTGAATACGGCTCAACACTTTTAGAGAAGAGAGTGTGTATGTATGTGCACTCAAAGTAATCATTAAGAACAACTTATTTCTGTTATTCTCCAACGTGCCTATGCTAAACTTATTTATAGAAGAAAGTGATTTTCTCGTAACACCAGCAAAGAGAGAGTGATTTCCTAAGGCATTGTCAGTTAGCATGAAGTGCCAATAGAAATTACCTAAATCCGATAACAATAAATGGAACACCTGCCAGGAAAGATTGAATCTGTGATGATAAAATAGCCAAGTTATCTCTCTGCAAATAAAGGATAATTTAAAAAAGAAAAGAATGCCATTTCTGAATAAACCTTTCACAAGTGCCATTTCTGAAGAATTTCTGACAATATAAACTAAAGAAATAAGAATGTCTAAAATTAGACATATCTTCATACCAAGCTTCCGAGTAAAAAAATTCGGGCATGGCACAATCAATAGCCATTGGATAAAGAAACATACCCAAAACTTAAGCAGTTTCTCTCTTTCATATCTTTCCTCTGTATGATAATCCAACTGCACAGGCATGGACATGTTCATGAGTTACAAAAGTGCAGTGAAGGTTATAATAAGAAGGCAGCAAGTGAAACATGGAGCACATCAGCACACCATTAAGCTAGTTGTATCTTTACCTCACGACTTGTTTTCAACTCCACGAAAAATCTTCTTCCCTCATCTGTTGAATCACAGCAATCCATTTCAGCACCCATCAGTATACGATGAGCCCCTAATTTGGTTTTAATCAACGAACAGTATTCAGCATTTGCATCAA